ATTATCACTAGATACATTGTATGTACATGTATATTATACTCTAGGTTAATTTGGTATATTATCACTAGATACATTGTATGTACATGTATTTTATACTCTAGAGTAATTTGGTATATTATCACTAGATACATTTTATGTACATGTATATTATACTCTAGGTTAATTTGGTATATTATCACTAGATACATTGTATGTACATGTATATTATACTCTAGGGTTATTTGGTATATTATCACTAGATACATTGTGTGTACATGTATTTTATACTCTAGGTTTATTTGGTATATTATCACTGGATACATTGTATTTTATACTCTAGGGTAATTTGGTATATTATCACAGGATACATTTTATGTACATGTATATTATACTCTAGGGTAATTTGGTATATTATCACTAGATACATTGTATGTACATGTATATTATACTCTAGGGTAATTTGGTATATTATCACTAGATACATTGTATGTACATGCATATTATACTCTAGAGTAATTTGGTGTATTATCACTAGATACATTGAATGTACATGCATTTTATACTCTAGGGTAATTTGGTATATTATCACTAGATACATTGTATGTACATGTATTTTATACTCTAGGGTTATTTGGTATATTATCACTAGATACATTGTGTGTACATGTATTTTATACTCTAGGGTTATTTGGTATATTATCACTAGATACATTGTATGTACATGTATATTATATTCTAGGGTTATTTGGTATATTATCACTGGATACATTGTATGTACATGTATTTTATACTCTAGGGTAATTTTGGTATATTATCACTAGATACATTGTATGTACATGTATTTTATACTCTAGGGTTATTTGGTATATTATCACTAGATACATTGTATGTACATGTATATCATACTCTAGAGTAATTTGGTGTATTATCACTAGATACATTGTATGTACATGTATTTTATACTCTAGGGTTATTTGGTATATTATCACTAGATACAATGTATGTACATGTATATTTTATTCTAGGGTTATTTGGTATATTATCACTGGATACATTGTATGTACATGTATTTTATACTCTAGGGTTATTTGGTATATTATCACTAGATACATTGTATGTACATGTATTTTATACTCTATGGTAATTTGGTATATTATCACTAGATACATTGTATGTACATGCATTTTATACTCTAGGGTTATTTGGTATATTATCACTGGATACATTGTATGTACATGTATATTATACTCTGGGGTAATTTGGTATATTATCACTAGATACATTGTATGTACATGTATATTATATTCTAGGGTTATTTGGTATATTATCACTGGATACATTGTGTGTACATGTATTTTATACTCTAGGGTTATTTGGTATATTATCACTGGATACATTGTATGTACATGTATTTTATACTCTAGGGTTATTTGGTATATTATCACTAGATACATTGTGTGTACATGTATTTTATACTCTAGGGTTATTTGGTATATTATCACTAGATACATTGTATGTACATGTATATTATATTCTATGGTTATTTGGTATATTATCACTGGATACATTGTATGTACATGTATTTTA